TGGCTGACTCTGTGAAACGAAAGTTCTAGATTAAATTCGAATCACTCATAATCCAAAATCAGATGCATGGCCTGGAGGGTTTTACATAAATTTTAATTAAACTTAATATTTACATATATACAATATAGGCTAAAATGCCTGAATCAAATATTAAGGCTCAAAAAGCAAGAACTGAATAGTTCCATCAAACAATCTAAATCGAATTATATTGCGTAGTGCATCGAATTCTACCTTCAAGAAGAATAAAATTTCAGGTCACGTGTTCAGAAGGGGGAGCGTCAAGTAAGCCAATAGATGGACTTCTAACGCCATCTCTTGGCGATATCAAAGAATATTCCTTAACACCCTGAGTACCGACATTTGAACCCAGGTCAAAGTATCAGCGTTCCGTGGCTTTATAGCTAGGCCGCTGGTGAGCATTGGAAGAACGACTAACGGGTTGTTACATTGGGATTTACTGGATATAATAGTCCCTGAAAAATCTTCATAGGAACTGAGAATTATGAATGCACAAATTGCTGTTTATGATTTGAATCTACTTAATTTTTTTGTGTTTATTGTATTTTATGTATACATTGTTTAATTTCAACAACTGAAGCTTTGTTCGTATGGGTAAATCTCTGGTATCAGAGATTCTGGGAAAGTTTAGTTCGATATTTTACTGAGAAGAAATAATGTGCTGTTTTATATGAAAATTACACGAGTCTTGTCATCGTGGCTTTTTTCTGATATTCAAAAAGTGCTGTGCTTTGCTGGCAAAACGTAAACAAATGACTAACAAAACATAAACAAATGACTAACAAAACATAAACAACTTTACTCTGCAGAACAAAAAGCTTAATTTCCTACTCAGTTTAACATTTTAAAAAAGATTACTTATTTTCTCGAATTTTTTTTTAGAATAGTCAATCATTGCTTATTAAATTTTTAGCATTTACCATAATTTTAGTTACACATTATTTAAGCAGTCCTCATCTGAGTATTATTATTCCCCCCCCCAACCAGAATAGTGATTAGCGACGCTGACTGCCGTACCGAAGGGCCCGGGTTCGAATCCTGGAGAAAGCATAGATGTTTGTTAATGTATAGTTCCTATGCGGTATGCGGGCACTCTAAATATGCGGCGAGTCGAAAGCCCTCTCGAGAGGTTGTGGTAGATTTTGATGCAGAGCGGGGGGGGGACGGAACTGAGCAAAATCGTATTGTCACCTGTATGGTGCTCGAGGCACTTGGCAATCTTGTTTTCCTTCCCATAATGTATTTCTTGGACTTATTCTGCATTTACTATCAGACAAGGGAGATTACAACATCACACCTTAATGTTTAGTATATACTTTTATGACTAGAGTATGATTGTGCCTGTAGGTTTTAAAATGTATATCTGTATATACATAAGCGGCTAAAGTGTGTGTCGCCAATAGTTTATTGTTGCCACTCGGAAAAATGAGCTCGGAAATTAACGTTTCCGAAGTTTTTAATTAATACCTCGGCCGATTAAAGTCGTGCGAAGATGAGAACGGTATCGATGGATTCGGAGAATTTTTTGGAATCTGAGGATACGCTTCTGGAATTTCAACTCGGCGCCGTTCCGTAGATATTTGAGAAAACATTTTTTGGCACGTAGCCAAATCCCTGTAATAGGGAAAACCCAAGAAAGAAAGTGGAAATGTAGGGAAAACGTAGAAGAAAATTAGACTTTATATATATTTGCGGCTTAAGTTTTTGTCGCCGATAGTTTATTGATTGCTTGCATAACTGTAAATTGTTTTATTCCCCGTGCACAGCAGCGCGTGGCGAATATCATGAGAAAGCTAAGCCGGAAAAATTAAAATTACAAGAACACGTGCATTTAATATTTAATAAATAAATTTAACATCTTTATATTATAGAATTCGGAAATATGCAACCGGCAAAAACCGGCAACGATGAAGAAACAAATAAAATGAAATAAATAAATGTCTTTATTATATGCGGCTTAAGTGTCTGTTTGTCGCCGATAGTTTATCGGTTGCTTGCGTAACTGTACTAACCAATGGGCTGAAGTTGCCACGGCACAGGGTTGCCGTTTCAATAGAGACGTAGACAATTGCCTGTAAAACTTGCCTTTGCTACGACCATCAATAAGTCTAGGTGCCAAACGCTTAAGCGTGTTGGCATTTTTGTACCTGAGCGTGCATTTGGACACGGTCAACTTTATGTTGCCTGTTCAAGAGTTCGTGAAAGAACGGACGTAAAATTAAAAATAATGGATAGTCCTCTGCAAGGCGAGCTTAAAAATGATGGAAAGATCTACACAAGAAATGTTGTGTACAAAGAGACCTTTAACATGCGAATTAACCATTTTATTATTTAAATCATCTTTATTTATTGAGAAAGTTGGCTCTTCTTTGAAGGCTTTGAGAAAGTGGTGGATCTTTATTTATTGAGAAATGTCCCGCCAGTGGTTTCCTTCATTGCACTCTACTTTAAGCAATTAGGCAAGTAGAAGGGGGAAACCCCGTGGGGCATTAAGCAAAGGGGTGTCCTCGACGCCTGGGTAATTCACTTTGAATTAGCAGGCACCTTTCATTTTAATTGCAATTTATAATGTCTAGAACAGCGGCCATTTCGCATGACCGCCGGACTTTCTAGTTCTTAAATATCTGAATAATATATTGCTGCGCTTTCTTATCATTTGAAACAAAAATATTATTGTGCATTGCATTTTAAATGTGGATGCAACTACGTGAAGGATGAGGTCGAGTATCTTTTCAGATTTAAAAAATAACATTTGTCCATAAAAATTGATAAAATGGTGAAAACAGAAACTGAAAGGCAAAAGGCTTCTAGACATCGATTTTCAGCTCAGTAAAAACGACACAGGAATCTGGAAAGCATAAAAAAGAATTCAGGAACCAACTAAAGAGATTCAGATGTAAAATGCTGTCTAATGTTGACTTGAGGAAAACCAGGAAATTAAAAAAAGAATTAAAAAGAAATGTTACAATGCAATTCCGAAACTTTCCTTTTTTTGTCATCCTCCCTTCTTGAAGACATCTTTGTCAAGTAGCTAATATCAAACGTTGAAGAATATGAAACGTCACCAAACATTAGTTTCTGAATAAAGAATATTCTTTTTCCTCATGTGTTCTTGTTCTCTTATAGGAAAGAAAAAAAAAAAAAAAAAAATTAAACTTACTCTTGATACAGAAATTAAGAATGTAGCATAATGTGTCATTATAGGAATCTTTTATTCAAAACTAGTAAGTATTCCTTTGCTTAATTGTCATAAAAAGTATGCTGTGTATCAGAAGAAAATATTAAAAAAATGTTCCTCCAAAGAGAAATATTTTTAAGTCAGTGAAATATATAACGTTCCTTGTAACATAAATGCTGTTCTTTCAGACGGACGAGTATCTCATTTCAGTTATTGCTAAAATAAGAAAAATGCCTCTCTATTTGTCTTTGAGATTTCATGTTCAAAATAGTTTTTTAAAAATAACGTAGTAAGAAGTATTGATCGTAGTTTTATTAACTGTTTTTACTTCCATGTACAAAGTAAAGGAACTATTGCAGTTGCGAAAAATTTCGAGTATCATATTTCAACTATTTCAACGAAGATATCTATTTTGACCACGCTTGAATCCATTTAGGCAATGTTTTTGCGTAACATCTGTATGTAGGTATAGAATAAAGGACTCTTTTTTCGCAAAACGGATTATTTTAAAATGGATTCAGAGGAGATTTCTTCGTGACATCTGTATGTATGTATCCTGCATATCTCAAAAACCAGTAGCCTCAAAACGTTGAAATTTTTAACATGGGACTACTATAACATATAGCTGTGCCCCTCCCTTTTTGGTTTAAATCGGTCACGCCAAACGTATATACATATATTTATATTCACTCAGTTACCCGGCTCAATGAGCTCTGTTTTTTATTCTTATATGTTGGTAAATTGTGCACTGTTTGCTTTAAAGTTCTGTTATTATCTTCCGGTTAAGATATTTATACCTTTAGTTAATCTGCATGGAATAGTTGTAGAATTATCAACAATTTAAAAGTTGTTTAAGTGCGGTTAAGCCTAACTTAGCAGCCATATTGGTTTACATTTAAAACTTAGCAGAATAGTGAATTAAGTCAGTTTCTGCACTTTTAATGTCTTGCCAAGTGAGATCAAAAGTAAACTTTTAGTTTAGTTCACCGAAAAATCTGCACTGTTGCTTGCTGGCCCAATTGCTCGCTTTCCTGTAGAAACTTTATTTTAATTGTAAAAAAAAAGAATGTTAACTGTTTAAACAGCATTTTTTTTTTTTTTTTTTGTTTTTCCATATTTTACAAATTTTAAGTTCTAAATTATGTTTTATGAGAAAATTTAGAATTATGATAAAAAAGCAACACATTGTTGCTTTGGAGCGCCTTTTTCTTTTGTTCTTAGTGCTTTAGATGTCTTTTATGGTTTGTTTTTGTGCTTTTAGTTGAAGATGACTTATCATCTCTTAAATTTCGGATTTGTGTTCACATTAGATTGCGATTATGTAAAGAAAGAATTAGAATTACAACAAACCAAAAATTTGATGCAAAATATGTTTATACATTTTTTTTTGTACTTCATTATACAAGTTTGTTTTAAAATTTAATGTACGTTTAATTACTTAATTCTTAAGAACATTTGATTTCTTTTTCAATTTGTTTTATTGCAGTGAATCTGCAACAAACCTACTCTCACCTGATTAATAAAAGAGCTAAACGAGAGTTTGAATTAAACTTCGAGAGATTAATAAAATTTGCAAATTTAATAGAGATTATTTTCCTAACTGAAAAGGCTCTTAGTAAATCAAATGCCACGTACTAAAAATTTCAATACCGACAATCAGAATTATGCATGTCCCGTGACTTTTATCATTAGTTATCGACTCTAGAAAATACATACAACAGTTTTGTGTTTTTTAAATGCAAGAATATTCTCAAATGTATATGTTTATTGTATGTATTTATGGACGAAAAAGGTAATATATAAATAAGTAACAAAAGTATGAAATATCTTTTATATTCTAAGCGGTTTTTGCTCGAACAGTACAAATAAATATACATTTAAAAGAAACCTTCTTTCATATTTGATGATAGATAATGACTCCTTCGAACTGCTGCACATGTCATTCGTCGATAAATGCAAACTGCAAATAGGTCTTAAAATCTTTTCCTTCTTGTTTTTGTTTAGAACTTCCAACTTTATAGTTACAAACATCATCGTGGAAGGTCCTGACAATTACATTTTCATCATCAGCACTGAAATCTATTATTTCACATAACTTCTCTGTGAGTGACACCAGCGAATCATATTCACCATCATGGGGATGGAAGTTATTATTGCTACACTCACTGCCTTCAGAATATCCTGAATCAGTTTCATGATTAAAGATATGACCGACTGAAGTAATCTGTGGGTATATTACTGTATCATAAAAATCCCAAACAGTTTCGTCTGCATTTTTAACAATATTTAAATCTTCAGCTTCTTCTTTTGGCAAATCTGAAAGAAATAGGTTCGGTACAACATTGGAGATGGTTTTCTTGGTAAGATTTCCGAGAAGATTTATTTTTTTCCTACATGAATTGACATTATTAAGTTGCATTAGGTTTTGAGATTTTTGTGCTGTTTGAACTGAGTTTCCTGATTTGGTATAATGGGAATTATTCTTTATGGAAGTGTTGGTTGGAAATGTCACTAATACTTCTTCTAACCTGGGTTTTTCCACTGAAAACAGAAAATTGCAATTATTTCATTTTTTGTATTTAGTTAGTGCATTTAACAAATCAGCAAATTATCAATTTAAAAATTTAGATAAATTTTAATTGTACCGGATGATTCTTACACATTTCAAGAAAATATATTAAGATAAAGAATATTCTTTTAACAGAAGTGATCTGAAATAGTTGCATAAAGCCTTTCTGTAAAACTAAAAAAACGTAAGGCTGAATATTTTGCACACAGTTTCATTTAGGATATAATCTTTTCCTATTTCTCAAATTTTGAGATTTAATTTAATTAGTCAAATTTTAATTTTTGAGCCACTTCTGAGCTGATTGTTTAGAAATTCTGCACATGTTCATAGCTGCAAAAGTAATGAAAAAATTCACAGAAAGGCTTTCACAAATTGTTATAGTTATTGTTGTACTACTTTCTAAAATGTAATTTTGAAGGAAACTTTTTATCATGGTTTATGGCTTTACGAGTTAACTGAACACCGAAGGAACTTTATTTAGTCGCAAAAATAATAATCTCCATTTCTTTGGCTAAGAAAGGAATTAAATAATTGCAAACTGTAACTTAACAGTAACTTTGGCTACCGTAAAATAAAATATAAATATTAAAATAACGAAAGGTTTAGCATGCTATTTTGATGATAGTTCCGCTTTGTGAAATTAACAAATTACACGAATTATTTGAAATGATAATAAAAGAAGCTTTGTGTGTCGTGCAAAATGCGCACAGTTGAAGGTATAAGTATGAGATCCCAAATTCATTCTTTTCTAAATATAGAAAAAGAAAACTCGTAGAATGTTTTTTTTTTTTTTTTTTTTTTTTGTTGTTGTTGTTGTTGTTGTTTGTATGAAATCCGGACTCTTTCTTCCGTCACTTTTGCGACTTCCTCGCATTAAAATACTGTATATGTTAACTACTTTTAACCTTTTCAATGATGCTCTTAGAATCCGGAAAAGAACATTAGAACCTCAGGAGCTCTATAGAAAGCGGAGCGTTTAGTTGTTGTATAAGGTATTTTTTCCCTCCTTTCTGCATGCCTTCGTGGTGTAACTGTAGCAGACTCGTCGCGTATTCAAGAGGTCCAGGGTTCGAGTCCCGGCGAGAGAAATTCACATTTTTCATACATCCTTGCTTCAAAATAACCTAATACTCTACAGTGGCGCCCGAACTAAAACGTGGTGAATGATGATTCTTCACCACTAGGATTTGGCGACTAGGTCCACTAATCCCCAGTCGACATTTATCTCCCTTCTTTCTGAATGCCTTCGTGGTATAATGGTAGCACGAGAATTCCAGGTTCGAGTCCCAGCGAGGGCACTACACATTTTTCACGTCTAACTATCAAACTATTCCTAATTTCTCTGCAATTGTTACTTGCGTTGTTAGGAATTTTCTTCTTTATCAAGGCGTCCCTAATTGTGAAGAACATCCGATGTGTAAATGTAACATCAGGGACTCAAATCTTGGTGAAATATCGCTGATTTTTCATGTTTTCTGCTTTGAAAAGATAAGACTAGTCCGAACTCATAAATCTGCTTTTTCCGACAAACAGAGAAATTAAAAAATATATGGCAGCAGTATTTGCATTTTATAGCTTTGAATACAAAGCTCCATTCTTCCAAGATGTCCGAGTGTATATGTGCGTATACAAGTATATGTGCCTCTGAATGCATGCATTATAGTTTATAAAATTGTCAGTTAAAAGGTTTATGATCCTCTATATACTAAATTTTGTGAAATCACCATTCAAAGACTATGTTTCCATTTGTCAACAAAAAGAAGTATTTTATTTGAAAGAAAATCTAAACTTTCAGCTCACTACCAACACAAAATACTTTATTTTAATACTAAGCCTTAAAATACAACTTAAAGTAAAGTTATCCAATCGTGTGAATACTTCTACAGATCTGTATAGATATGCTTGACTTTAAAATTTGTGGTGCATCTTAATAAACCTAAGCTTATGTGTTCACTTAACAGAAGTTATCTAATTTGACTTAATTTCCATAATAGCAATAATAAAATATTATATATTAAGAGACATCTAAATTGTCTTCATTTAAGTACTTTTCAAACTGCATAATTTGATAGCAAGTGCATAAAACTAAGCTTTCATGTGATGTCTCCTTTTGATACTTGGTTATCAAAGTTGTTTTACTTTAAATGCTAGAATACTTTGAAAATGCAAAAAGCATTAACATTCTTTAATTTCATATTAAATTTCAAACTTGCATTAAAGAGCATGAATTAATTTAAACGCAGTTCAAAGGCTTGTATTTCCATGTTTTGAGATAACTATTAAGTTATATGATCAGAATAGCAGTTAGTAGAACACTTTTTGTACTTACTTTCTTTGAAGACAACTATTTTTGTTGTAGTAGTTTTATTACGATTAGTGTAAAAGCAAGAGAAACCTCTATAACACCAATATATGAATCCACAAAATGTTGCCACTATCGCCGGTAAAAGAAAGTCATTGAGAAATTTTGCACTGGTTTTATCTTCAGTAAACATCTAAGAGATCCAAAAATTCAACAAAATAATTACGTGAATAATGAAGGCAAGCAAGCTATAATCATAAAAATGGAAAAGGACTATGATTTTTCTAATACAATAAAACAAGAGCTTTCGGTAATATAAACATGTAGAAAATTGACTTCAAAATAAATGAAAAATTTATAATTATACTGTTACGTTTTTCTGTATTAGTCTGTTTTTTACTCAGCATCAGCAGATTTGCTTAACTAATATTTCAGTTTTATTGATTCACCCTAGAGTTTTGCATAATTAAAAAAAACAGCGAATGTTTTTGCAAGTACTTACATAAATATTCATAACTTGGTATACGTAGTACACTTACCAACGTACGTAGTACCTTTTATATATACATATATATAAAAAGATGTAGTAATGTTGATGGCGTAGAACGTGATCCATATTGAAGAGGAAACTTGGCAGCCGAGTAAGATTCAACTTTATATCAGTTGATATTTGCAGCCACAATTTACTCGGCACTCTAATAGAATGTTCTAATAGAATGTTCTAATAATGTTCAAGAATATTTACATTTTTGATACTGTTGCGATGGGAAGAGAGCAGAGCGAAATAGCGTATTAACAGGAAGAGAAGTAGAAGTTAAAGTGCGCAGTTATCTAATATGAAAGCTAACTAAGAAAAGATTTTGGTTTACGTTGCTTGTTAAGAGAAAGGTTTCAGTTCTTGAAATTTTGAGTTCAGCTTCCGAACTAGCTACGTCATTAGTGCAATGCAATCCACGTAACACAGTTTGATATAGAAATGACGCAGTCCAGAAAAGTTTTTTTTTAGAACAGAGAGAGGGGATTATGGCTATTGCTAGTTTAGCATCAAACATTTATTAAGCAATTATCTGATGTTTTTACAATTTTTCTTCGTACCTATATAATATTATTATTTATAGCAACATATATGTTACTAAAAATGAATTACAATCACAATTTTTAGGTTTTTGTGCTTACCTTTTTAAATTTATAACAAAGCAGAGAACATAATTCTACAATTGCCTGTAGTACATTAGTTTCTTTAACAGATCTCTTTATCAAAAGTTTCTCGCATTTGATTTCATGAGAAAGCCCTCAAAAGAGCAAGGTAATTCAAACATCGAAATCTAATTTATTAGTTAATAAATACTTACATCCCCCCAAAACATTAAAAAAGTTATGACATAAATGACTTCCCCCCAAACTCGTAGATGTGAATTATACATGCAGATTTTAGATTTTCTATAATAAATAAAATGTCTACTTTTGCATATAATAATTGCAGTCAATTTCATTCCAGTTGCTAAGTCAGTAGCGGAAGAAAAACTGAACGAATTATCTGCAGTTTGTTCTTCCGATTTTGTTTCTATTAAAGTATGTGAAAAACTTAACGTTTGTTGATTTATATTTCTTGAGGCCTTCAATTTGCAACAACATTCCTCGGTTTTAATTATTGATCTCAGTTCCAATCTTCATTAGTCTCTTGTTTTTATTCAACTATCTCCTGAAATACTTTTCTGTCCCCTTTTTCTTCAAGTAATGCTCTTTGTGTGAATTAAATTACGAAATTTTAATCTCTCTCCAAATAACATTTATTCCCCAGAAGGACGTTTTACGCGTCTCTTCGAGACTCCTTAAGCTTCTTTACCACTAAAATCAACTGATCAGGATTAAAACGTTTCTCAAAAGGTTATTTTCAATCCATGGCTTACTACTATGCTATGCTCACCAGTGACCGATAAGATTGGATCACCGAAGGTAATTATCCTGTCGATTCAAATATTAAAGTATAACTTAGAATTAAGATTTTTAGCATTAACATGATCGCTAGAATTTTTTAGTGTTAGTAATAGTATTTGACACGAAATAATATAGTATCTGTTGTTAAAAATGTAGAAATGTAGAATATGAATTACAAATAGTTCAAGATGAAAATTAAAAGTAACTTATGCATATTAAATATACACAGACGCGTATGTAGATGGTTGCCACAAATTCATACCAAATTTACATACGCAACAATCGTCAATCGTTTCGAAATTCCTACGAAGTTCTGACTCAACATTTAGGCCGATAAAACGACGATAATTAACCTACCACTGAGTATTACTCTTTCATTCTGATTATAGTTCTTGGTGATTGAGCGGGTTGGTTACATGAAGTTTTTTTAAAGCTTTCTTCGTGTGTACCATAAATAAGAAACAATTTCTCTTGGAAATTCTCCATGAAAGCATTTCTGTTCCAAGCAAATCTCAAGTGCTTTATCAAAATAAAAAATATATAAGAGCCTCTTGTTGCTCTGTAAAGAAGATTTTAGGAAGCAGCTCCATACACGTTTTGCACAAAATGCACAAAATATATAATAATTGCTGTGGGAAAACCTCATAAGAATTTCGCTATTTTCGAATCGGCGCAACCACAATAGCGTAATTTGCAGATATTTTGTAGAAGAAAATGAATGATGGCTTATAATTGAAAAAAACGTATTTTTGACAATTTGAACATACATGAACATTAACCAATGGCTTTCTAACACAGTTTTTCAGCAAAATGCTATATTCCAGCAAACAGTTTATCTGCAGTTTTACAGTTTAACATTTAAAAAACGTAAATGTTATAATAATTTAAAGTTTACGTTTAATACAAAAAATATCAGGAATTTTGTATTAAAGCCGATGAATCTTGAACTACAATAAAAAGAAAGAGTACTTATCTGTTAATGGAACCGGATTCAGAGATATATGTATGTATGGATGTATATATGTGTTTATGTATCTACGTATGTATGTGTGTGTCTACCCATATAGAAATACACACATTCCTACATATATATATTTCTAAATCCTGACCCAATAACAGAAGAGTACCAAAGAAAGCTCACGGAAATAGCAATCTTTAGCAATCTTGCTTATTAAAAAACTGAAAAGTTAAGTATATGGCTGTCTTTTGATTTCTTCTTTATGGCTGCCCCTCCCTTTTTTAAAGTATATTCTTAATATTTGATGAATTTTTTAATGGAGTTGAGTTGATAAGTAAGAACAAAAATTTCATGATAACTAAAACTGTTCATTATGGTTAAAGTAATATTTAAGTTACTTTGGTACTGTTCCGTCGTGTACCTGTCCCACGATTTGGCCAATGTGACACAGAAGCCGTACACATACCAGCACCCAATAATAGCACCATCTGAGAAACGTGTTATAACATTATGGGCTTTCTCAAGTCTGGATTCCTGGAGATGGCAAAAAACATCGTGCGATTTCAAGCATTTCCCCCCGCTTCTTGAAGACCTTCTGAATGAAAACATCAAAAATCGTATTGTTTCAGTCTTTCTATTTTTAACCTTTCATTAAAATTGGTGAGAAGATATTGAAGGTAAATTGCTTGTATTTTAAGTTACTCCGGAATAAGAGAGAAAACAACAAAGCCAAGAAAAAGGAGGCTGCTTAACATGCATGAGGAATAATTATTTCAGCCTGAAAATGTGCTGTTGGTGTTGGTGTATTTAATTAAGGCAAAGCACACGAGGGCTATCTGCCTAAAAGGAGGGATGCCTTCGTGGAGCACTTTCTAAGGAAAACTGGCTCGTATACACGTTACACATGGGGAAAACCACGAAAACGCCCATGCAGCCAGCCCGTTCGCGGGAACCTCGGACCGAACTACCCAGTGTTCAGCGACTTTACAGCTGGTGGGCCCCTCCTGAAAAGGTGGCATTTTCTGAATTTTTGTAACCATACAGTAGCTCCGTTCGCGGATGTACAAAATCCGTTTTCCTATAAAAATTATGATACTATATCTATGATGAAATCCATATTAAAAAATTAAAATAATGGATCTATTTCATTAAAACCTGTGATAGCAGTACTACTGTTCGTGGTGCAGTGTATTTTTAATACAGATTTAACGCCAGTTAATTCCTTAACATATTACACTTTTCGCTTCCAATGTTTCAGTTTTCAATGTGTAGAAATAATTTTGTTATGATTCCGTTTTAAGCCAATAGTAATACTGAATTGTAATCAAATTTTAAAAACATCTTGCTTTATGTATTAATTGTAAACGCCAGTATTATTAATCGTTTATTTAAGAAACGCCTAAAAACTACAGGATAAAGCGCCATTTTGACTTAATATGTATTTAAGTCACGTAAGCTTCTATCACGCTTTTGAATTTTACGTTGATGAGTGAAAAGGCTGAAATGGGAAATGTTCTTACATATGCTACCAAGAGAGGCTGAAAAGGCACTATTTTTTAAAACGTTTCATGTGGAAAAGCCTGAAACTGGACATCACCTCTGGGAATTATGTGTGTATGTCTGTGCGTTTGTAAATAAGAATAGTTAATCACACTCGCACACATATTATTACAGTAGCTGGCATAGTACATTGCAAGTGCATAATAGAAATGTATCGTTATATTTAAGTACTTAAGTTACGGTACAAAAGCCCTTCGGTACTTTTCCATTTTGCCGGCGCGAGCGATAGAGTCGCCAAAAATGGTACAACCGATGCCAAACGGAATATCTTCGCTGGTAACATTTTACGCCTCATTTTCAAAACACGTCGCAGCCAGTTTTTATTAGAATGATTGTTTCTTTTAAAACTGGCATACAATTACATATAATTTTTACCAGATAGTTCAATTTAATGCCCTAAGGCCATTCGCGGTAATTAAGTCAATTAGGATGCAATCACACCGCTCACCCGAAGACCAAAATATAGAAAAGGTAAAATCAAGGGTTAAGCTCATCAATTATAATAAGAATGCACTAGCGAAGTAAAGCACTGCGGTTTTAGATATATATTGAGTAAGCAATTCGTACGAACTGGAATAATACTTGCATTTAAACTTGTATTCTATATTAAAATTTAACTTGAAATTAATGTAGATAATTACTGAGAGAGTTAGATTTTTGTAGCATAGTTTACGCAAAGAATTACGTGAGATTAGACTATTTGGGGTCACATTATATGAACGTGCGAATGTGAATGTTGTACCATGAAAGCATAGTAAATTCTTAAATTAATGTCTTTTTACAAATTTATTGCCATTTTACAAAATTTTAAGCGTTATTAAAATGCTTATGCCTTCAAAATAAACAAAATCTTAGAACTAACATTTGTTGACAATTTTTATGTGTATACTATGTGTTGTCGCCAATAAAGTGTGCTTGGCGAGATTTGCGCCGGCGAAACGGAAAAGTACCAGCTCTTCACTTCTATTGATATAATTATTAAATAAAATTAGTTACATAATACCTTATTCCATACAATTTTACAAACGCTTTTATAGATATCTTTCAAAATTATAAATTCTTGAAATATAAGTTAAACTTATATAATCATAATATCGGAATATCTCTAAATTTTTTTAAGCATTGCATGCTATCAATTTATTTCCAAAAACTTAGTTAAGAATATTCCTTTGTTTTCAACTTTCTGTTTTAATCATACATAAAAATCTACATATGTATCCAGATAAAAATGAAGTCCAAACTCATAAAAACGGATTATTCATTTAAAAGTCAAAGTAGGTACCACCGAGAAATAAAAGTCCTTGATGAAAAATTATTCCTGCAGTTTGAACTTTCCTTCTGCTTTGCTTCTTTAAAACATTCTTCTGCAAAGGAAGTAATGATTTTGTTTTTGCTTAGTCCTGTCTTCAGAGCGACCTTATTTTATCTCATAATTATTTATAAGCTAGAAACAATTGTGAATTACCTGCTTCCTTATTCATAGCTTCAACTTAAGAAGTTGGCGTTGGGGGTTTAAATTGTTAAACACATTTGGGCATTTTCTGATAGCTAAATATAAGCTTTCAATGCAGATCGTTAAAATACCATAGTAAAATCTTTCGCTACCTTAATAAAAATGAAATTAATATGAATATTTTATATACCTACTCATTTCATTTATTCAGTTGTAACCGGCAATGATTAATTGTTAAGAAATGAAATTTAAGTAGATTAAAAATGCATAATTAGAAAAAAATCATTAATAAATTAAAAATATAAAATGAGAAAAAATGTCACTTACTAAATCATTTAAAACATTTCAAAGTAACTGTTTAAAACTTCAAATTAAAACATCAATCTCTAAATATGTAAATGTTGCCAGTTTACGAAACAGATGGTTAATTATAATAAAAAATACAATTATGCACGTTTATATATTTCTTGTAATTACAATTCATTGAGGCCATAACAACAAGCCCTTGCTGAGAATTTGATGTGTTCATTAAAATTGCGTTCATGAGTTTCAAACGAAATTTTTTAAAAGGTTTAATTTTACAGAATGCATGTTTACGATTGAAATATAACACATGCTTTCTTCAGTTTGATGATTTATTCCATGCTTGATCAAAGTAAACTTTCTTTCACTTTTCCGTATACCAAGTTGAAATAATCTTCCTTGGATGATTTACTTTTTATTTTATTATTTTTTTTGTAAATTAGTTTTTAAACCTTATTAGATTTGTGATTTACTGGTGTATAACATTCTTTAATTCATAATTTTGTTATGCCGAAAGCATCTTTATATAAGTCCGTTTTCAAAGGTTAAAACTACGTTAATATTTATTTTCTTGCAATTTTATTACATTATAAGTATAATCTAATAATTATGGGGAGGAAAATTTCCTTGTAATACTTTTCATTTTAATTCATGCAAATGATGTTACGACTTTGTTGTGACCAGTACTTGACGCTTGCCAATATTTTCTAGAAAACATATTCTAGAAGAGTCTGTGAATAAGAGTTACATTTTGAAAACATTTCTCTTTATCGGCTAAATCGCAGAATAGGCTGCATCAGTCGATGCTGTGTTTACTTCTTTTATGCTTGGACACGCCTTTTTATGACGTAATATTGGTTACGCCTCTTCTTAAAAACAAGTTATAAGTATGCTATAGCTTCGTATTTAAAGAAAAATTATATTTTAACTGAGTTGAAATTGTAGGTTTATATCTTTATCTTTAATATAATTTTAATTATAAATCTACTTTTGTGTGTTGTGTGGGAGTGTTAGCATTAACGCAACGAATTATCTCTCACAAATGTATTATTAAGATACCAAACGACTGAATACGATCATTACCAAACGATTGAAAATATTGAATGCATGAATTAAAAATTATAACCGTAACTTCTGAAACTACAGAAGAGAATTCTTTTGCTTATAGAATGTTTTGATTATTGATGAGTGTGTGAAAATCGGTGCTTACTGCAGAATGGATGAGTATCTCAATCTGGATTTTTTTAATCAGTTGGGGCGAAGAGGTAAAAAGAGCGTTATTGAGTGGTGTATGGAGAAAAGTTTGATTGCAATATCGTATAAGTGCGCAATTTGTGGAACAAATATGAAACTAGTAGAGAGACGGTTTTGAGTGGTGCGCATTGCCGAAGTTATGCGCGATGCCGAGTTTGTGCAACTCTGGGATTTTTTTTAAGTGAAAATAGATCGATGTGCACATGGGCAAAGGCAATGTGGTGCGAAATGCCGAGTTTGTGCAATTCTGGGATATTTTTAAGTGAAAACAGATAGATGTGCACATGGGCAAAGCCAATCTGGTGCGCAATGCCGAGGTTGTGCGCGATGCCGAGTTTGTGCAATTCTTGGATTTTTTTTTAATTGAAAATAGATCGGTGTGCACATGGGCAAAGCCAGTGTGGTGCGCAATGCCGAGTTTCTGCAATTCTGGGATTTTTTTTAAGTGAAAATAGATCGATGTGTACATGGGTAAAGCCAATGTGGTGCGCAAAGCGGAGTTTCTGCAATTCTGGGATTTTTTAAGTGAAAATAGATCGATGTGCACATGGGCAGAGCCAATGTGATGCGCCATGCCGTGTTTATGCAATTGCGGATTTTTTTAAAGTGAAAATAGATCGATGTGTACATGGGCAAAGCAAATGTGTTGCGCATTGCCGAGGTTGTGCGCTATGCCGAGTTTGTGCAATTCTGGGATTTTTTAAGTGAAAATACATCGATGTGCACATGGGCAAAGCCAATGTGGTGCGCAATGCCGAGGTCATGCGCGATGCAGTGTTTGTGCAATTCTTGGATTTTTTTTTAATTGAAAATAGATCGGTGTGCACATGGGCAAAGCCAGTGTGGTGCGCAATGCCGAGTTTCTGCAATTCTGGGATTTTTTTAAGTGAAAATAGATCGATGTGTACATTGGCAAAGCAAATGTGTTGCGCATTGCCGAGGTTGTGCGCTATGCCGAGTTTGTGCAATTCTGGGATTTTTTAAGTGAAAATACATCGATGTGCACATGGGCAAAGCCAATGTGGTGCGCAATGCCGAGGTCATGCGCGATGCAGTGTTTGTCCAATTCTGGTATGTTTTTAAAGTGAAAATAGATCGATGTGCACATGGGAAAAGCCAATGTGGTGCACAATGCCGAGGTTGTGCGCGATGCCGAGTTCGTGCAACTCTGGGATGATTTTTTAAGTGAAGATAGATCGATGTGCACATGGGCAAAGCCAATGTGGTGCGCAATGCCGAGTTTGTGCAACTCTGGGATGATTTTTTAAGTGAAAATAGATCGATGTGTACATGGGCAAAGTTAATGTGGTGCGCAATGCCGAGTTTGGGCAATTCTCTGATTTTTCCGTAAGTGAAAATATATGGATGAGCACATGGACATCGAGTTTGTGGAATTCTTTGACGTTTTTCGAGCGAATACTAATCGCAGTAATGTAACTTTATTTATGTGCAATGTTTAACATATCGTTTGAGTATTTTAAATTTGTATTGTTGTTTTAATTGTGAATTGTGTTGAAGACATCATTTTTCATTTAAATTGTATTTTTAACTTTTTGGCTTTGATATGTTTATAACGCTTCCGACTTAATATATCGATAGTCCGACGATCTACTCAACAGTAGCAAAATTGTTAACTTTAACTCTTGAAGTAACTTTACCTCTATTTAATACGTAGTGTTTTGGTATCGTAATTGCACTTGATAATTTAAGTTCAATTGATAATATGTGTGTGTGGTGTGCGTATCTTAAGCATGCTTAAGTGTTCCAATTTTGTAGTATTTTTTTATTATATTATTTTCTTCCATTGTGAAAATTAGATTTTTATTTACTAATGAGTAGAATTCTAGCATGCCTACACAAATGGCGTGATTTAGGAATTTTAGACCTGATATGAAAGCTGTGTAATGATGTTATCTGCAATAAAAAATATTCTTCTTTTTTTAAAATGTAAAGTTTAAAATTTTAGAATAATGAAAATTGTCTAATTATTGGTATGTAAGGAATTATGTCGTTGCGTAGTAAGAAGGCAATTTGTAAAAATGATAAAATTCAAATGTTCACATATGAATTAAATTTAATTAAAAAAATTATTTGTATAAGATTTAATAAAAATTTGAAATATTGAAGCTCTACAAGTATTAGAGACTGCGACGTTGTTTCGTTTAAAATTGGTAGAATTTCGCTCACTGTATCATGGTAATTTTAAATATAAAAATTTATTATACTTATTATCAGTAACATCTAAGCTTAAATGTTATAAATGTAAATTAAAGTAAGAATTTGACATTATTTACAATAGTAATTTTGGCTAAATTACAATTATAGCCAAAATTGTATAATAATAATAATTACAATTTGGCTTTGATTGTTTATAACGCTTTCCGACTTGCGACATATATCGATAACCCGACGATCTACTCAACAGTGTAAACTGTAACCCTTTAAGTAACGTTTACTTCCTATTTTAATGCGTAGTGTTTGGTATCGTAATTGCACTTGATAATACGAGTTCATTGTATATATATTCATTGTATTCAATATGTGTGTGTGTGCGTATGTGAACCATTGCTTAGGGTTCCAAGTTTGTAGTATTTATTTTATTATATTATTTTCTTCCATTGTGAGAAAGATTTTTTTATTTACTAATGAGTAGAATTCTAGCATGCCTACACAGAATATGGCGTGATTTAGGAATTTTAGAAGCTGATATGAAAGCTGTGTAATGAGTTCATAGCAATAAAAAATATTCTTCTTTTTTTATTAATGTAACGTTTAAATTTTTAGAATAAAAATTGTCTAATTATTGGTATGTAAGGAATTATCGGGAGTATAGAAGGCATTTGTAAAATGATAAATTCAAATGTTCCACAATATGAATTTTAATTAAAAAAAATTATTTGTAATGCTTTAAAAATCTGTGAAAATATTGAAGCTCTACAAGTATAGAGACTGCGACGTTGTTTATCGTTTTAATAATTGGTAGAATTCGCTCACTGTATCATGGTAATTTTAATATAAAAATTTATTAACTTATTATCAGAACATCTAAGCTTAAATGTTATAAATGTAAATTAAAGTAAAATTTGACATTAATTTACAATAATAAACAATTGTTATTTTAAAGAAAATGGAAAGTACGCGTAGTTAAATGCGAGACTACCATGGACCTATAAGAAATAGACTAACCCACGGTGTTCTCCTCGTCTGAGGCGTTGCGGCTGTACCTTGATCATATCCGGAGGAGTAGGGAGACTCGTGAAAATTAACAGTCGTGCCTATTGCAGCTGTATAATGTCACGAAAAATTGGCTGTAGAGCCTCATTTTCACAAATTAGAATTTCTACATATTTTATTTTTGAAAGTGAGATTGATTTTTTAAATTTAGATATTTATCAAGCATAATTTAACGTTCAAATAATTAAAAAGCTATTGCATGCTTTCAGGGCTGGATTTTTAGATTTTCCTATGCTGTAGGAAATTTTAACTACTTCTTTAGAAATAAATTTTAATCTGAACAACAAAAATTTAAACAATTTTCTCTTGCAATTTTATGCTTTTATGGATAAATAAGTAAAATATACTAAAAATTAAAACGAATTTTGAAGGTTTGTTTAAAAAAAGTTTTCATGCTTTTTTAAATAATAGATAAGTATATAGCCCGATTTTTAAAGGAATTTATTTCAATTTATTTCATATACATCATAGTAATAACACTTTACTCTTAATATTTTTATACATTTAATTTAATATTAAAATTGTATTTAATCGTAATAAAATTTTGTTTTATTTTTTTATTTTTTTAAATTTTTTAGTTCTTAA